CATTATCACTATATAATTTTTGAATCTCCAAGCCTATTTGCTTTTCAACCAAAGCCTTAAAAATTATAAATTTTTCCAAAACTTTAAACTTTTGGTTGATAAAGTATACAAAAGTGTTCCTTGAAAAATTGTCAATAAAGATGATAAAAATACATCTTTATTTTATTTAAAAATATTTTTGATATTTAAAAAGAACTAAAAATTATTATATATATATATTTCACAAATATTATTTATTAGGTCACATAAGTCACTTTTTAGAATAAAAAAGGGCATTGATGATAGACAAGATAAAATAAAGAATAAGTGTCAATATATACAATTTTGTAGAATTTTTGGCATATGTGTAATATACTTGAATTTGAATTAATTATTATATATTTGATTCACATTCACATATAGTTCTTAAAACATAGATTATTTTAGTTAAAATTTTTAAGCTTTTAATCTCTTTTCCTAGAAATTTTGAGTTGCAACAACTTCTATCAATAGTAAAGTAACAAAGCATTTTTAAATTTTCAAAGATTTTTTTTGAGTTGGTAAACTATTGGCTGGATTAATTGTTATATGCAACCACTATTTTAGTCTTATCTTAAATTTTGATTTCATATTATTTTTATGCATTTTATATTTGTAGCAAATTTATTCTTTATGATTGGAATAATTTCTACAAATTTTGCAAAAAAGATGTATCTAATTAAGAATTTTTAATTGCAAAAAAAATTCAAGAAAAGTAGATAAACAATGTGATTAAAAAAAATCGAATAGCTATCATTTTAAAATTGTTACTAGATGGATAAATATATAAAAATTTAAAAATCTATTAAAATATAAATAGTAAGAATTTAAAGTTAATATATTTTTAAAAAATACAAATAATTATAATAATTTATATATTTATTAACTAAATTATTCAATTATTTTAAGATTAAATAAAAAAAGTTCAACCATACAAGAAAAATATCACCATTTACCACCATTAGATTCTCTATATGATAACCAAATTAGATCTTTAAGCATAAGATACATATATTCAAGGACCCATCTTTTGTAATTGACATAATAAGAATAATAGAAAGCTAGAGAATAATGAATTAATTTTTTTAATATTAGACTTCTACCTTGAAGCAATTTATATTATATCATTATGCAACTTGTAGTTAAGGCTTTAAACAATTTTTTACTAAGCTTTGTATTTGTTTATTCTTTAAGATTTGTGTAAATTTTATTTTTATTAATATTGAGAATTATCAAAATTTGAATATTAATTTGTCACTTGATCTTAGTTATAAAGCATTGCTTCCATTTTTTAAGAAAGTATGAGACTTCTTTAATATAATAGAAAATATCTATTTTAAAATCACTTCAAAACTCAAGGTTTTTTTTTTAGTTAGTTTTTATAATTGTTCTTATTGTAGCTTTGTTATCCACACAAAGCAAGTAGTAATAGAATTTAATTATAATATGCATGCAAATTTACGAATATATTCCTTGCTAGACTTTGTGTTTGCTCACCTTTTAAAATTCTTCTTAGTGTTTGATCAATCTTTAAGTATCCTACTCTACATTCTTTTCTTATACAATCCTCTCTTTGTACAAATATATGCTAATAAGAGTCAAAGCCCTGACATGCTAATTCTAATGCTTGGACCTTTTGTAAAAATGTCATACTTGGTTGGTGATTTGAACAATTATCAAAAAGATGACACTTTGGATAGCTGTATTTAAAAAAATACTATTATTATTATTATTATTATTATTAGACATATATATATTTTTAAATTTTATAAATATTATAAATACTAAGTATTATTAGTTAATTAATTAAATTAGATTAAAAAACTTTATGTTAAATCTTATTTTTGTATATATATATATATATATATACATATTTTAAACATGAATCAAAATTTAATTCAAAAAATAATTTTTTAAAGTTATTTTGTTAAATTTTGTGAAGTATAATTGTAATAGATATGACTTTTCTCTATATTAAAGATTACATGTTAGAATTTTGTGACAAATTTCAATTTATTCAATTATTCTTATTAGAATTACTTTACAATTTTTCTTACCTTTATTCTCTAGATTTATATTTTCAAAGATTATATTTTATTATATTTTATTATAATTTTAAAATAAATATACACAATCATACATGCAATAATACAAAAGCACATAATTTTTAACTTTCAAAACCATGTACAATGTAATTTTATTTGTATTAGTATTTAAAATATTTTTTTGTTACTTATTAGAAGTTTCATTTAAAATATGTTTATGAAAAAGTTTTGGAATTCCAATTTTTTTTATAAGGAAAAATTTCAATGTAAATTTTATATCTAAACTTTGTATATTTGTATATAGATATTTTATTTAAAATCAAAATTTCCAAATATACATTCAAAGATTTAAAGACATCAACATCAAGTGAACTACTATTAGCTAGTTTATGATTATATATAGTTTTAATTTAAGCCTACAATAAAATAATATGCATATGAAAGTACAATTATATATATATATATATATAGGGTATTGCTGATGCCATCGCAAAATTTTGGCATTGCCACATATTCAATATGTTTCTTTGCTTATTTTATTCCATCCAAAAAAAAGCCAAGTATTTTTAACATATATTGAACTAAAAAAAAAAATGGTTGTGGTGGCAATGAGATCGTCTTGTATATATACATACATATTTATATAAATAAGTTTTAAATATTTTCTTTGCATAGAAGAAAAACCATGTTTATTTTGAATTTAAGATGCAAATAATTGTCCAAATGCAACTATTTTTTTTATAAATATTTTGCATACATAATTTTATTTATTTATTTAGTAATGTAGAAAAATAATTTTAAAATCTGATAAAAATTCACAAGTATTCAAGTATCTCAAGAATTGATATTATTTCTTTCTTCCAGTTAGATTGCCATTGGTTTGTTTATAATTTATACGTTTTTACAGGTATCTTGAAATGAAAAATTCAAAAAGAAAATTTTTAAAAAGTATTCCTGAGGAATTCAATTGTGCAAAAAAAACTTCACTATGTATAATAAATTCCCTTAAATTATAAATTATCAATATGTTTGAGGACCTAGAATTTAAGATTTACACAAAATTTTACTTCTGATGTACATGAGATTGAATAAGAGATTAGTCAATGCAAATATTCATTTAAGATATATTGACTTTAAAAAAATAACCGAAGAAACTATGTTTTGATAAGATTTACAATTAATAAAATAAATTTTTGTTGAGCATAAGTTTCATGATTCTAAAAAAAATCAAATAAATAACAATAAAAAAATCAAACAAACAAAGGATGGGTTTCTGAACCAACTAACAAAGATTGAAAGAATCTATAACTTCAAATGAGTTCCAGTGTATTTTACCTTCTGTGGCACAATGCTAAACTTTTCTTATGTTTACTTTACAATTAAAATAAACTAACACTTAATTTTGTCAAATGGGGTCTAGTTGGTAAATGAATGTTTGTATTGATAAGCTACATGATCTCTTGATAGTGAATATATAATAATATATTCATTACTTCCCAACATTGCCAATAAAATATTGTGAATCAGTAACTTGAAATTTACACTATTTTAAAGTTATTACAAGGTAAGAAAAACTGTATATATGTATGTATGTATGTATGTCGTTATGTATTATAATACACTAGTACTGTTTTTAAAAGTCTTGAATTATACCACATATTCAACAATATTAATCAACCAAATTATCGTCCATGCAGCAACTTGTAAATTTGGGATACTAAACTAACTCCAATACCAATGGCCTTGAAACGTATTTTATCAACAATTTATGGAACCAAAGAATCCATGACAATGTTGACCTGGTCACTGACCAACATCTAAAGAAGGCATTAGGGTTTGTTCCAGAGGGTCCCCTTGCAACCATTCAAAGTCTTTGCAAAGACACTACATTGTCACCATCAAAGAGTTTGTGTATTCAATTTGGGTTGGTGTTTTACATGTATACACACATACATGTCTTTAATATCTTTCAACCTAAGGCTGTATTCTCAAAATCTGTTTTGAATTTCCTCGCAATGTATTTGTTTAACTAACATTTTGTTCATAGATTGTTGTTATTTTTGGGATTATTACCTTTTTATTCATCAGCATTGGGTGACACAAACAGAACATCACCATCATTACAATTCTCTCTTTTTGTTTGTGGATGCATTTTTTCTTGTTTGTGCTCAATTGATGGGGCAATTGGAATTTTTCTTTGGTAGGGTACCTTCTGGAAGGTGGGCATTATGGTGGGCAATCTATCCCTCTCTCTTCCTCCCATCCCAATGGATAAATGCATCAATGAATCAAATCCTTTCAACCCCCATGGCCCACTTGTCAACAACCCACTTTTCATATATATATATATATATATATTTATTTTGGAGGGGGGGAGGAAGGGGGAAAGCCGTTTTGAGGCTTTTGTGGCCCCCCAAAAAGGAAAACAAACAAGACAAAAAAACACATCAACCAAATCAGAAGAAGAAACAAAACAAAATGAAGAAGAGAATTATTCTTTGGTATGATTGTGCAATAGCTGAAGGGGGTTGCTGACTTGTAACTTTCTTCAGCCTGGACTGAGATGATACGAGCCCAATGCACTCAGTTTGCAATCGCTTCAGTTATTATTTTGCTTTTCTCCAACCTTGAGCAGGCTTCACATGCAATCCACTTTGCTAGAATCTACACAACGTTGGGAACAGTATTCCACCCAATGGGAACCACTTGTTCTATCTCCCTCTTTCATTTCTCTCCAGCTGAAAGAAATGCACACTCTCTCTCTCTTAACACCAAGCTACCAACAGAGACAAGTTGAGGGTGGCCCTCCATAGCTCCAGTATCAATGAGACTGCCCACCTTTTGCCCAGCTTGGGAAAGGTTACGGTTACATACCATATGAATGGACCCAGTAAAAAGGAAGGAAGGGGGAATAAAATAAAAAAACAGAACAAAACAAAACAGAACAAACAAACACAGAGTACATTCGAAACCACACAAGTAGTTTACATGAAGATGGCATGATTGGAAGCTCTCACACAATTCTATTGGAGGGTTACCTGCCTTTAATAACAATTCAAGGTGATTAAGCATTAGTCCTTGGATCAAGTCCTACAAAAAAGAAAAAAGAAAATTTTGTACACTTACGTCTTCAAGGGTTTACGATTCCCAGCTGTTAGTAGAGGCACTAAATTGCACACCAGAAGTGATTGCAACAGCTGGTGCAGTACATGACTTCAGCTTTGTGTTTGATGAAGCTGTGGCTTTCAATCTGATTGCTGTGAAGCTTGCATTGGTTGGTTGGGTTGATGCTGTCAGAGCAGAGCATCAAATGGAGATCCCTGGACAGGCCCAGAATGTGGTTAATTAAAATGTTGGGAAGTATAAAAGAGAGGCATGGAGTTTACAGTCCTTGATGGTGGTTGAAGCCTGAAGGGTGGTGTCCCTCCAGTTCAGAAGGGGAGGGTTGCTGCTAACTTAGGTTGCAACAGAGCACTCTTCTAACATCCTCTGCAAAGTCAAAATAGTGTTCTGATCCAGGTGCCACACTTCCATCTCCCATAATATATCATGAAACATCCAGAATGTTCCTGGACCATGTGCACAACATCTGTCTACAGTGCAACTGCTCACATGGATCCACTGATACAAATGAAAAATTGGTGTTCTGACAAGTACACACATCACAACCACAATAGCTTCCATGGACCAATCTCAAATTAGTTGGGCTGTCCTTGCATGATCTACAGGTCACAACATCTTCTAAGTCCAAAAACTTCTTGTAAAGAGTCATGAACCACGATAAGGAATCCACCATAGAATGGCAACTCCAATAAAATAATATTTGTTGAAAAGAGGAAGAACAAGAAGAAGAAAGAAAGCAAGCAAGTCAACTAGGTGAGCCGCTCAAACCCAGAGGAGAACATTATGTGCGCTGTTCAAGTGTGCTCACAAGAGGTGGAAAAGCAGCAAAAATCGAACCCTATCTTTTCTTCTTCTTTTTCTCTTCTTTTTTGTTACACAGGAACCCCGCTGCTAGAAAGGTACCAATGCTGAAGAATTTACACTAAAGGGAATCACAACCGTAAATGTGAAAGTAACAATCTCACCTGCTTACATCCCATGAACCTCATTTTGAAGTCCTACACTGTAGTTATGTCTTGCTTTTTAAAAGATTTCCCCGCATCTTTACGCCATTTCCCAAACCTGAAGAATCGGAATCCTCTGTGATGTGCTCGAGAACGCTGTTGAATAATATCATTGCCATCTAGTGCCGCAGAAATCTTTTCAGACCCTACCCTATTCAGATCAGAATAATCACTTGATTGCGATGTCTGCTGAACGCTGGATCCCGTAGGCCCTTCCATCGCCTTGGTATGTGCTGCTATCGAGTAAGACACCTTAGTTTCGCACGTAATATGCTCTTTCGTGAGTTCCTCCGGTAAGAACTCCTCCTGGGTATCTAGAAATTCTTCTGCCTCATTAAAAAAATCCAACTTTGCCGTCGAGCAGATAGGCTCTGAGTTACCTGTGTTGTCGTTTTCTACACTAAGGGTTTCTCTGCTCTCAAAATTTTGAGAGGAGGCTCTTTGGCTGCTAAAATGCATTATAAGTTTCTCAAGAAATTCAAGAGCCCAAACGACCTCCGGATCTGAAGGTCCATCTTCCTCACTGGCCAATCTTATCTGCTGCTCCGGCACAAGTGACATGGTGGACATTTCTATGCCGTTTGTTTCAATAACGGGCGTCAAGATGTTGAGATCTTTGTCGTGAATATCAGCAAATGAAGCATTTGAAATTGGGACATCAGCCGTGAAAATGTTGCTATCAGAACATGTGTCTTGCCTTTCTTGAACCAAAACGTCCTCTGGTGTCCGGTTCAAAGGCTTAGGCAGCCTCTGGTCAGACAGTGCTTTGATAGCATACTCCACACGGTCAATTTCTTCTTGTTTATGAGGAACTTTGTAGAGTCCTGCCAAGCCCTTCTCTGGTGGCAACATAGCCATTAGCGCAGGGTCATGCATATTCAACGACATGTCGTCAAGAGCTTGAATGCGCTTATACATAGGCTCGGTGTCGAGGAGCTTCTCCAATGGACTTCCTTTGACCCCAGCAACCGCCTAAAGAATTCACTAACAAACAGACATTACAATTCTTTTCCGTTTCGCGCAAACACCATGCACACGTCAGTGTTCAGCTTTTTTCATTGAATGAATACGTTGCAAAGCAAGCAAAACCAACTGGGTTTAACGTTGAGCATTTCACATTGTATACTGTTCACTCTTCACCATTCACTCAATTCCATCTGAGTTTCCAGATACAGTATCATCCCAAAGACTATTGTGCCGCACACAATGTGCCATTCGTACCCTACAAAAGGCTATACGAGAAGTATGAAGACAATACTAAGAAGTGTGCATCAACACGTCCAGCGAAAAAAATTCCTCCAGTGGTCTTGATTGTTCCCGCATCATTAGATTGCTTCCAAAAATATCTACTTATTCACAATTCCCTAGAGCATTGGAATATTCAACAGGCAGTAAGAGCGTCACCTTTTGATACAACTTGTAGCCAAGGCCTAAAAGCTGCCTAGCAATGAAGTTGATTAGCCAAGGAGGAACAAGATCCAGCTTCATATCCAGATCCACAACAACACTATGTACAGGCCACACACACTCGGGAATTAGATTTCTGAAATAAATGGGGTATGAGGCAAAAATCAGGAATTAATCGCTCAAACCCGAACCTCCTCCTCTCCAATATAGCTACTATGTACTCTCATAAAAGCATCCTGAGACTGGTTATTGATTATATCCTCTAAATACTATATTTTAATCCAAATAAATGCAACTTCATGGAGAAAAAACGAACAAACATACACATAAAAATAATATAATGAACCATTAATTAATAGAAACACAAAAACAAAAACCTTTATCAACCAAAAACAATGTGTAACAAAATATTTGCACCTAGCAAAGCCAGGACGTCAGCACTATCTTTAGCAGCACATAGACAAACCGAGCCAAAAACCAAAACATACTTAAAAGATTTCAAGAGGTTTACCGAAAGAAGCTACGATTGTGACCAATCTTCTGCAACACAAATCCACCCTCAAGGTCCATACGGACCGCATTTGAATGCAATCCTGGTATTTGAGTGCTGCTAATTCCATCCACCTTCTCCTCTGGGACATCTGGCGCCTGTGTTGAACAACAGCATACTAATCAATACTAGCACATAACAAACTCCAGGGGTTGAAAATGAAAGTATGAACAAGGAGTCTTACGCATACACAACATCAACTTCTGACTGAAGCTGCTCAAACCCCATAAGATCGAAAGGGAAACGTTAAAAAAATAACATCTCGAAAGCTGGGTGACCAAAAAAAGGAAAAAGAAAGAAAAACAAACGTCAACAAGCCGTTCCCACTGCTTTGATGCTTTCAAAAAAGATGATGAAATATAACACAAGCTGCATCCATCATGTAGGGGATACAAGTTACAAACGAAATGAAAAAGAGGCTTCCAACACTTACTGTTTTGTATAGTACAGCCACAAGATCTTCATCAAAGTATTCCAATTCATATGCAGATAGGATTACTTCACGCATTGCAAAGGGCCAAGGCACTTTAAACCTTCATTAAAACAACCACCCATTGACTGCTATAATCAGGGCGGCATCAAGGATGATCCAAAAACATAAACAATTAAAAAGCTCTGGAGCGTTTGAAAACTAGATGTCCGGACAAGACAAATACATTGCATCTTCCATGTCAAAAACTAGATCCTTTAAGCTCATACCTCAGCACAGAGTGGTCTCCACCTACAGTGTTTCTTTCAAGCCACCTGGACTCTGTGATCTTGAAGGTAGGTGCAACAAACTGTGGCCACCTGGAAATAACGTGATGATATTCTTATGTCGATTCCTTGGCATTCAAGCCAGATTTCCAGAAGTAATGAAAACATAATAATGTGAAATATTTTGAAGTTACACAAAAATGCTCTCAAAATGCACATTCTCACATAAATAAACAAAGTTCCGCCGAACTTACCATTCTTTATACATTGGCACCTCCCAAGCAACAACCAAAGCTGCACATGGTAGCAGAAGAAGAAGATTGCAAGCGTCAGTTATCTCTAGGCTGCCTGAAGAAATACACTAATCCACGGTAAATCCTTGAAACCAAGGAACAGACACGGAGGAGGAACAACGTTTTTTGTAAAGTAAAATGAATGAAATAATAATTAAGAAATAAATAATTGCAACAATAACAACTCACCGTGTGACAAAGGGCCGTCGATTACGCCATCTAAGCATAGTGAGTGATATGGAGCTCCTTCTGGCCCTTCTCGGTACATAACCCGAAACTGTGGAGTATCTTGCTTGACCTGAACAAAATCTCAGATTAGGGTACAGTATATCTGTGCGGCCAACACTAATCTGACATTGAATAACTTTAAAGATTATACTCGCGTAGCAGACCCATTTGAAAAGAGACAAGGCGACTGCATTCCTAGCTCCATCATTCCTTTCATTCGTGAAACACACAGTGAGGTTTACAATGTCGCTCAACAAAACTAATACTAACAAATCAGGCGAGTGGCAAATCGTGGTATGTTGAAAATAGAAGAACATAAACCTAGCGATTATCAAAATATATCCGGACAACCCCAACTCGCGTACACGAGAATTGCCACCTTAAAATGTGATGAGTTCACCGTGCCCAGTGTTAGCAAGCTCATGACGTCCCTCAAGGACGTATTGGGTTGTAGCACAAGGCCAGAGTAATTTAGGTGTGCTCCTGGGAAAAGGGTGTAATAGGCTGAGAGGAACGCAAGCGGTAATATAGTAGGCTCCGCACGGTGTTATTGATAAACTCCACATGCAGTTGATTGTCTTTGACGTACCCGCCAGTATCATATGTAGCCACTTCCAAGCTGTCACGGATAGAAAATAGACCTTCGGAAGCGCTTGAAATGTTTACAAAGGGAGAGAGGGACTTCACCTTCCATTCCCCATCTACAATTTTCGTTGACCTCTCTCCTTTGGCACTCCTCAAAGCATCCAACAATTTCAGCAGCTGTTTGCTTCTCTTCTCTACAACTTCGTCAGTTGCTAACTTTTCTGAAACATGACAACCACGCAGTGATCATTCTCAGTCGATGCTTAGAACGAATACAACCCCCGCCCAGCCCCCCTGCGCAAGAAGAAAATAAATAAATAACAACAACCAACCAACCAACTCATAAACTAGTTTCACCACTTTCATTAATGATTGATGACTCACAAATCAGGCATCCAAATAATGCCACAAGAATTTCTCGCTGCGATCCTCCAAAATTAATTTTCAAGGTCAGGGAGAAATAGAAACCGAACCTTGGGCAATGCAGCTGACCATCTTCGTTCCGTCAGTTCGGTAGCTACACTTAGACCAAAATGAACAAAAGGACATACACTAAAAATTATCTGGCTGCTAACAGAATTCCCAATACATGCTCTACGCTTAAGAAGAGTCTACGCTTATGTGCTCTATAACGACAAAAGATACACAGGTGCTCATTTCGACAGAATGTGGGACATTTTGATTTGTTCACGACTTTTTTCTAACTAGGGTAGTCACTGTAAAACTCCTGAAGAACGAAAGAATGAAAAAGAGGGTGCTCAGCGATTGGTAGGGCGTTCGTTATGCGGAGATTAGGGAGCACCACCAGTCGCAATTATTCATCAACACTAAGAGAAGCTTAAAGCAGAGCAACGAACCTGAGCTGGTTTTAAGTAGCTGCTTGCGAACAAGGTTGTTGAGGATTGCAGTATCGGACAAAGCTGACGATGATAATGTTTTGTCCAACCTTCGGCGCGCATCTGTAATGCTAGTCATCCTTCCTTCACTCTCCCCTTCATACAACTCCTCCTCTTGCTGAATCTCCTACCTCTGCACCCTCTCTCATCAAAGATGCACATTACCCACTTCCGGAAACCGCACTGGATCACCAATTCCAGCTCCTCCTTACCCCCGCACCACCGTACCCAAAACATTCGTCTCACTTCTCTCGCTTCCTCTCCCTGTCCGCCGAGCCTCGTGCTTCCTAGCAAAACGACGGGCCTCCATACCCACACATCAGATCACGCAGTAACGTCCGTGGCTATCCGTAACGTCATCCGTGCACGATACAGGGAGAGAAGTAAATGCGCGTCCACTCCACCTCAACTCGCCACCAAATTTCTTCACATTCGAAGCTTCAGTCTCTCTCTCGCAGCGTCCTCTGCAACACAGCGCCCTCGAGGAACTGGCACGAGAATCCGCAGCGAGCGAAGGCAGTCCTGCGGGCTCACCTCATTCTCGTGCATCTTACCCTCGCCAGCGCCGCTCCGAAACGGGCCCGGTATCCAAGGTCTCCACATTGTCACACTGTATACCCCCCCCTTCAAAGAAGCGTAGGTCGTGACATGACTGTGGCCCGGGATGATCCATCAATAACGACCTTCCTACCTACCTTACCTACCTAGCTCCCCTCCAGAACCTCCCTACTGTCCCGATCTCCCCACCTACCCTCCGTTTTCATTCCCGAAAATACTCTCTAACCATGTACTGTCTGAAAGCATGAAAATAACCTATTAATAACTATTATTAAATGTGTAAATTAATTATTACTATGATGCAATATATTTCAAATTGGTAATACATTTCAAATACCAATCAATGTGTAATAAAATACAATAAGTGTTTTTATCTATGTGTCTGATTTAATTATTAGAAGTAGGTTGAATTTAAAAGTTTGGATTACTATTGGTTAAAAGTTTAGAAAAAATATTGTATCTCTTAACTGTAAATGTAACAAGTAGAAGAATGATCCTTTGACAACAAAATTGAAAATTTATTACCACATTAAAATTTTATATGCATCAATGATGCTGCAATTCTTATACAAATGCAAACACATGAAAGTTTGGGCATCATCAAAACGATTCTCTGTCTCTCTGTGTGTGTCTCTCTCTCTCTCTCTCTCTATCTATCTATCTATCTATCTATATATTTATAAAATATTATTCAGGGGAATTTATAAAATAGTGAAACAATCTAGAAGTATTTACACTTAGGGAAACAAATCAAAAGGGATTTGCCATAAATAAAATATGTAGAAAAATCATTCCCCTATTTGTAAATACTTTCAGATTTGTTCCCCCTATCTGTAAATTCCTCTGTAATTTATAATTTAGAAAATTTGGGGTTTTCTTGGCATGGTCAGGAATTAACACCAACATCTATTATTATTTTATATTAATGACCTGGGTTTTACGCACAAATCAATGCTATCAAAGATTTGTGGGAACATGGAAATGCTTGCAACACATTCCATTTCTTTTAGCTTAAAACAAACATATAAAAAAGATAATTAAATCAAAATTAAAAAATTCACATCAATCCCAAGGCTAGAACTAAAAGGAGTATTGGAAACAAGATGATAGTGACTGAAGAATATATATATCCAAAAATAAAAAAATCAAAGCATACTATACAACACCTGCTCCGAAAAGATGCTCCCCTGTTACCACATGAAGAGCAACACTAAAACATATGAACACTATTTTACAACAATAAGTAAAGAATCGAACAAACGAATGAAAAGTGGGTCATCACGTCGACATATCATCCATCATTGAATTCCCGGTCTTGTGCATCTTCCAGGCACTAGGTGTGAATAAGGTACTGTCGTGACCGCGACGGTTGTCCACCGTGGCGGAAGTCGGAGCCAACTCAGCGTATTGAGGTGGCGTGGTCTTGGAGACAGACGCAGTCAGAATGGAGGTTACAGTCAGAAGCTGTGTCGGGACCGTAATTGTTGTCGCAGACAGGGCTCAGGCTATGGCGCTCTTGGAGTACGCAACGCCATCTTGCAACGCTGGCAGGCTATGGTGACGGCTTCAGGACGCTTCTATGTCCGTCGTCATCGGCTAGTTCCTCGCTGCGGCTACGGCTTTGGGTTTCTCTGAGGTGATGGGTGATGGGTGATGATGCCAATCTGCTGCGGTCTCTGTGTGTACCTTGCAGAGACATGACAACCGTTGCCTTTCGTCTTCGTCCAGTGTCCTGCCTCTGGCATCTTGGCTCAAGATTTTTGGTGCAACGTGCAGGCTGAAAAGACAATTCAAAACATGCTGCGTAGTTGGGTATTTGTCGGTGCGTGTAAGTTGCGAGTGCGGAATGTGGTGCGAGATTAGGGTTTTTGCTAACATGGAAGGTGGTCGAGTGTGGTGGCCTGAATTGGCCTGACATACTAGAAGTTCAGTGGTGTTGAGTCCCAGGAGTAACATTGGAGGGGTTTCCAGGCCATGTGTTGAAAAAAAGTACGAAGACTTTGAATGTGTCTGTCTCTGTGGGTCTAAGTGGTCTAAGTGAGAGAGGTATTCTTCCTTCATTGATGTTCTCTGTTTTTGTACGTTTCTTTTTCTTGCCGTCTTGCACTTTTTTTATTTTTTATTTTTTTAAGGCCACTCCAAACGCAAATGATCCATGTGAAGGTAATCACGACAGCAAGCAGTTAAGCTGTAGCGGGAGCCATTAAGTGGTGATTTTGCCCTTGGGACCAGTGGCGTAGAATCCAGTTTTTCAATCTTTTGAGGTAGATTTCACTGATTTTGTTGTTTTTTTTAGTTGTTCTCCATATTGAATTATCTTCAAGCATTAAACAGGAATTGTTAAACTGTTACAAAAAAAATATTTTAGAAAAATGATGCATGTTGAGATTTGGTTAGTTGGAATTGTTTGTCAATCATCTATTTTGTGTCATTAGCATTTGCAACTAGTATTCATTTTAAAGTATTATTGGTCGGTGATGAAACATTTGGTATTACAAGCCATTATGGGCGTATTTGTCATCATCTGGTCATAATAGACACCCCGCAATGTCCAACTAACAAAGGGATTCATAAATTTGATTTAGAATCGCTTTACATGCTACTTTGGAGGTTCACTGAGAAAACTTAACTCATTCATTTTCATTTGCATAATTGTTGGAATTTATTGTTTACTATTTTTTGTTTTATAAAAATTACTTTTGTACTTTGTTCATTACTTCATTGTCCTACATGGTAGCATTTCCAATTTGCATTTCAATGCGCATACCAAGAGTGTTGGATAGAAATGGGGCCTTTTACTACCACTAGCCAGAGAGACCTAGTGTTAATGATAAAAGCTATTTTGATTGGTAGCATTCAAGGCTCAAAGTGCGTGTTGATTTTTAATGGGCTTGAACAACACTTCACTCCAGTTTTGGACATGCAAAACTTCACAGACATCTTGTGAAGAGTTCTCGTAGCACTGTGTCTCACAATACAACAAGTGAACTGAGTTTTTTCGAGCTACCTTCCAGATGGGATTAGTGAACCTCCCCAAAATATCTTCTTCGGGAAAGTTCACTTACAGAAGAAACAAATCTAAAAATTACTAAAATCTATCATGTCGCCTGGCCTGGTCGAATGCCACGAATTCAGTGATCTAGGAATCACCAATCTTTCATTAGATGAAATTAGACTATTTCATACTAGAATGCGACATCTTAAAGAGGACATGAGAAGTTGAGGAGAAACGATTGAAGGCTGCAAAACTTGCAATATAAACTCTGATCATGTGCCGTTATATCGAGCACAATACTACTACCACATCTTGAGACACAAATGCTCCTGCCGATTTCCGAAAATTACTCAGAAAATGATGCTATTTTGTGCGACAGACCTGGGAGAAAGTCACAACTAATCCTATACAATTGTGAGAGAAGAAGCTTCTAGATATTAGAAAGCCCAAAATCACCAGGACATCATGAGGAATGAACTATCGTCAGTCAGTACTTCACTGAGAGATCAAGACTACTTCCAAAAGCTCTTACAAAGTCTCTTAGTCAATCAGCAACTACCCTAACAAGAACCCTAAATACTCCTAGCTCGAAACTAAATACAATTGTTACTAATTCACCTCTAGCTGGCCAAGAATATATTCTCCTTCGTAATCTACCTCCAAATGAATCATTATAGAAAAGCATATGAGGTGCCATTTGGCTGACCTTAAAAAGAATCATATCCTGGTGCAGCTGAGGAATGCTATTCAACAAAGCTAGGAACTGCACTAACAAGTGGTCTTCCCTGTTCAGTTGCTGGAAAAGTTGACAACATCGTGGTAGTACAAGAGCAAGCACATGGGTTGCCCCACAATGCAGAAAAAGAACCAAAATACCATATTTCCAACCTGGGCACATTCAAGTCGATATTAATGTCTTACATCTAACATTGTACTATGCGACTGAATAAACAACAATTTAAATGACAATATATCACGTTATGCTTTAAAACTCAACCGCGTAGAAGACGTTATGAAAGGTTCTATCAGACAAAACATGTAAACACAAATAATTGTGTGTCACTGTTCCTGAACGCTACGAAAATCTCTTATAATTCTTTGGGAGTTAGTACAAGAAATTGGCTGCTAAAGCCCTAGTTACCTCTGTTCTTAAGGTCAGTCTGCATTATAATGCCATACCATGCAAGTTTCAGGAATCACAAGCACGTACCATAGAATTGTGATATCGCTCTTTAATCACATTTGTCAAGTACACCAAAGGAACCTGCATGACAAATTTCATGGAATGAAACTACTCCTCAGTCTTAAAAATGAACAATGAAAAAAAATTAAATAAGAGGAAGAAGAAGAAGCAGAAGAAAGCAAGAGAGACAAATTATCTTTTTTGACTAAACAAAGAAAAAAGCAAAAAAAGAAGAGGTAAAGAATCTAACTATCCATTCTGTCTCTTATTCTAGAAAAGTGAAGACTGAAATACCTGCAACATGATGCCAAGAAAAGCCCAGCATCGAAGCATATGACAGGGAACACCAATGACAACCTTCCAAAGAGTATTAAATATTGAAGGTCAGTACAATAGCGGTAGTAATGAATCAGTGCAGTGAGAAGGTACATTCAATCATAGAACCAATCACTTATGTAACCACTGTTTGTGATATGTTTCCAATCAGAGCAAAACATGTGATAACTACCGTCACAAGCAAAAGAAAAAGTGAAAGTAACCAACAATGGATTGTCGACTCTCAGAGACAGCAGATCAAAAGCACCTAACAAGCTTTGGCTACAGCCTGGAGCCATAACTTACTTACTTTATACACATTTAAAGTGAAAGCACATACCTCATGAAACAAAGCAGAAATTGCAAACACCAGTAGCACTGCTGTTGACTGTCGATGCCCCAACCCCAGAATTTCCAAAGTGAACAAAAATATATTAAAACGCGCAGGTGTGAAATGGAACTTCAATTGGTTACTTCGGAAAAGAAGCATACGACATAAATGCCCTCCGACCAAATAAATTAGAGAGAAGTCCAAATTGATTGGAACTTCACAAGTACATAACGAGTCATCTGGGAAAACCAAATGAAATACCTTGTGTAAACCAGCTCGAATGGAAGGAAAATATATATGCCGCACCATCCACTTGTGCACAGGCTGGATACAACCCGTACGTACACATAAGCATTACAGAAAAACACAAGAAATTCATTCCAGAGAATTTATGTTTTTATCTGCTAAAGTATCATGGTGGAAACAGCTAACTATGTATGTTGACCTAGAAATTCTTGGTCAGAAATTTTGAGGTTGCATACAAATGGTTCATTCACAAGTAAAAGATGTAGAGAAGAAAAAACCATTACGTTCTACACAATAAAAGACATGTAGAACGCGACAAAGTGGCAACGAGATCCATACCATGTTCCACATTCGCCAATACTGAAATGTGTAAGTTTCATCATAGATATCCACCACAACACAAAGTCAGTAAAAAATGACTTCAACATTACAAGCAGCAGATTCTCGGGCCAATCTTACTAACTAATCAGTGAAGTGGAACAGGAAACGCGAATTTTCGACAATTGAGTGGAAATTTTTAAAGCGTCTGAACTGAAAAGAAGAGTTGTATACATTATAAAGTGCGGGTTCTAAGATTTCAACTCCCCAAATAAGGAACAGTAAAAACAGGTTCAACTACGAATACAATAAGCTTGGAATGACAACATAATGTTGCTGATGCATGGCGTGTACATTTTTATCCAAGGTTGACACATTCATCTACCAATCAAAGAAACCGAGAGTTTTACACAAGAGATAGGTTCTCGTTGATATATTAAAAGGAGGTGGGCCTGTCCATAGCATTTGTTGAAACCAGAAAACATGATAAAACTGTTTAAAATCTAAAATTTGCAACAAATTAGTTTTAGAGACTTAATGAATGAGAAAGAAAGAACTCTCTACCTCTTCAACTGTTTGCGCATTCCACCAGTCTTTGTAAAATTCCCTGTCTCCAAAGCAAAGTAGCTCTGCTACTACATTCAACCTGATTCCGACACATCAAACGAAAGTCAAACCAGAATACACCAGCAGAGTACTATCATGATATTTTATTATATATACAGACAACCATTTAAATGCATATATAAAACTCGTCTCAATACCAAACATATTCTTGCAATAGCATGTATTATGAATAAAACATCAACCCAAGTTGATAGAAGCAGCACGCAAAGAAATCTTGTATACATATAAATTCTGCACAGGTTTCGTTATGGTATTTTCATCCCACTTTTTTGGAAGAAAGGAATCATAATCGTGGACATACCAGAGATGAAAGAAACAGTAGAATAGACAGAGCCAAACGTAGAGAACTGGCAAGGAGAGCTTCAAAATCCTCTCCAGTGCTTGAAGGTAGTTGCCCCGGAGTGGGTGTTGCGAGTTCTTTACAGTGGGGTTTATGTACTACAAGAAATAAGAACATCACGAACAATGTAAGACATGGGACAAAAAAATCGCTAACAATTTCCGACGAACGTGTTGATCGCTCTTGATACTGACACCCTGTAGCCCCATGAGTGAAAAAGGACTGTCATCGATAAAAGGGGATGGCCATTGACAAGTATAATTGGGTCCGGAGCAGCTTTTGAGACTATTGCCACATGCTGCAAAGCTAACCAAACGAACAGTTCATTCCAGTAATCTAGTGGAAAAATAGAAGAAGAGCACCTGTTCAATGATAAATCCCATTAAACCCAGGAAAACCACCAACTTCCCGACTTGCCGCAACACCCAGCCTTTTCGAATCGTATCAGAACGAGGATAGCTCAACTGAAAATGAAACGGCCCACCAACTGAAATTCAATACATACATACATACATACATACATAGAGAGCGAGAGAGAGAGAGAGAATGCAATACAATTACCAAGTTACAAGAGCAAAGAAGATTAGAACCGAAAAGTTTTAAACGGTGAGAAAGAACCCCAACAATGCACATGACATCGAGTTCGAGATTCAACAAGTAGAATTCAACAACTGTCTTTATAATAGGGAGTAGACAAAATATATTTAGACACCGCACAATTCTCTTTAGCTACTTCTATATGATGTGCAAAACTGATCAGAGTCATGGCAAATCGAACCCGTCACTATTCTCCAAATTCCTTACGCATAATCTACAGTATATGTGTCAAAGTATACCTGATAGCAAAGTGTGGGTGCTAGCATGAAATAAGTAATATTTTTGACAGTGAGATGGTTCGGAACTTCAATCTTTTCTGCATGCTGTGGTGGCTCAGGCTGCTGCAATTTACAGGTCGATTTTTGATATTTTAATTACATATTCTTACGCACCGTAATCGACGCTTTTCTACAAACAAATGGTTTAAAATAGAAATTGCAGACCCCAACCTCGGAAATAAACAGGATCACGAAGTTTCAGATGTGATGATGAAATCCAGACAAATTGCAATAAATAATTTAAGATGAAAGACGATTGGACCTTTTCCCCAGCTTTCAGAAGTTCTCGCAGGTCCTTGTTGGTGTGAGCATAAGATATTAGCTTCATCCACCCAGTTACTGCAATGATTATCAATACGAGACCGGACAACAATGCGGATTGCACCCTGAATCCAGCCAGTCATAAAGATTCAGCGACGTTCTTTTTCTCTTTCGTTAAGAGAGGTTGGAGAAAAGAAGGGAAAATAAGGAAATAAAAGAGGAAGAAGCACAGTCACGTAATAACAGCACCCATAGATAAACAGTTGCGCTATATTTTTCGGTACACCGTACGTCCAATAACCGCTGGCACAAATTGGCGTTACACACATGTGACGATTATTATGTGGATATGCAACGATAAGGGAAAAAGTTAACATGCCTGTGTATTACATATCCAGGATAGAGGATGCCGACAGTACTGATGATAAGATGTAGTACAAAAATTACCTGGACAATGAAAGAGAAACATTATAAAAATATATGGAAGGATTAAGAATCTTGTCTCAGGGCAATCACCCAGACCATGTTGTCGCTACCGCCGTGAGCACGATTGTGACTTGCATTTGAACTCATCTTGCAGAATTTGACCAAAAAATCATGCCAAAAGCGATTCAAAATTGAAGAATTCCTCCCGATTATCAACTAGAAAATACTTACTCTTTCTGAAACATTTGATATCACCACTTTTCCGTTGATATTTTCCCAGCACAGTTTTTCTACTAGCAACGCCGCCAAAGGAAAAATTGGCAAGGTCAAACTGCACAACACAGAGCACCAACTCCATCAATACAAGCTGTAATTAAACCACTTCCAGTGTGATGTCTCATTACATTTTTGACAATCGTTAAACCTTCCTAACCATTAGACGTGCTAAAATGCACACTTTCGTTGCAAAGCAAATAGAAAGAAAGTGCACATGAAACAATAGGACAACTTCAGCCTTGCGTACCCACACATCAAAAGTGGCCAATCGCGTGCAGACTTCGAACTGAACCAGAAACCCGTCCTAATCAGCAGTCCATACTGTCAAGCAGCTAACTCGTACGTTAGAATCTGAACACTTGTGGAGCGCAGGATGTTGTCAAAATTATTCTACATCTAAAAGTGTTGATCATTTTCAGATAACCCCGCCAAATCATTTGAATCCCACGAAACGCATGCCTAGACTTCGATAAATACTACTAATACATTCTTCTTTAACGAAAGAACTCATAAACAACGCCCGTAGCCGCGAAACACCAAAATACCTTCATCAAGTTCTCAATAATAAGCCGGCTGTTGACAGCTATCAAAACCACGATACAAAGATTGAATAGCCCAGCATGGCTCTGCAATGAAGAGAAAATTAATCGTGAGCTTTGTCCAAAGAATTACGCGTGAATAATAAACACATACATTGGATCGTTACAAACGAGCAGATATAAAGTCTACATATAATAAGGTACAAAGCTAACCACGTCCAAAATGCAATTTAAAAAAAAAATCAAGCAAACAGGAAACGAAGATCAAACAATCGCGGAAAGCATTTCAGGATATCATTTTGTTAAAGAAAAATTATGCATATCCAAAATAGTCCTCCTCCACTAACCTGTCGAAAGATTGCATCCGAACTCAAGGGGCTCTCCTTAATCTTTTGATGCGCGGGCGTAGACCCCCGCAGGACGAATTTCGTGCTGACTTCAACTTTTTGAGTGACAATCCTCTCCTCCATGAGTCTTTTCTTCCCGGGCCTATCGTCTAGAAGATTGCCACTGTCTATGGACTTGAAGTGGACGCTATTGCGCTGTCGTACAGTCGACAACTGTCCATTCACAGCACCTATTGTGCTCACGCTGTCTTCCTCCCCCGAAGTCACGTCCGACTCCACATTTGTCATTTCGGACAACTGCGAGGACGAGTCTAACGAATCTCCAGCTCCCTCGGGAACATCCTCTCGCTTCGCCACGCCCGAGTCCGCCATGGTTGTTGCCTCTCACTGCTGCGATTGCCTGCCTGGCTGCACAGACCTTAACTACCGCCTCCAAAATGCGAATTCACTAAGCGCAACCGCATCCGATTAATGAGCATGAAGATAGAAACATTTCTATCGCCGAAACGGTGATCCGGCAAGCGATCGCTTCCCAAAAATCAAAACGGCGCCTCGAGCGGCAGGCGGTGCTTCTCCTTTCAAAGGCCCCGACTCTACAACGAACAACTAGCGACCTGGTTGGTTGGAACTCCCCCCGTTGGTCGGTACGTAGGTCTCATGAGCTGCCTTGTAGGTATCTCGAGTCAGTAATTTTAAAGGGGTACTTCACCTTTCAAAAAATTACATGTTACATGCTAATTTCTCTATAGATTAACCTTCCTCATGGGATGGTAAAAAATTATAAATTACCGCCCCTGTGACAGATCACTGTGGATTGTTTTACCTACAACCTTTCTACACCGGTGAAAGGTACTCCAAATTACTTTGCCCCACTACCGTTGGGAAGGGTTGCTGTTCACAGGACGGTTGCTATCCCCGCAGCTTTGTCTCCTTCAGTAATATGGAAACAAGTGTTGGGCTCTTCAGCAAGTTGGCTATTGGTGGCGAAGAGGACTTGGGGCTTGGTCATGGGGACCTATGAGCTTAACACCCTGATAGTCCCTATAGCCGTGTTTGTGTGGCATATGACCGGAATATTCGATATGAAGGAAGACCCTGATTGTTTTCTTTCATCGGTAAAATTAATAAATAATTAAAATGATATGAATTTTTATATACATATATATATATATATATATATATAGATATATATAAATGTGTATTGAACTTATTCTCAACATCAACTTCCATTTTTCTGTTACGAAAAAATATTTTTTAAAATAGGAAAAAAGAGGTGATTGTTAGTTTGGCATTCTTCACCAACATCCACAAACGACCTTCAACTTGGCTGGTAGGAAAGATAGAGAATTGGCAGGTACTGGGCAAGTCCTTGGGCAGGTCCGAGGGACTGGATCAGGCGCGCTGCGGCGAATATTCGGAAGCTGCCGAATAGCAACTGGGGCTCGTCGAACGATGCCTCGGTAATGTCGGACACTTGGCATGAGAGGTTGAGCTGTTAAGGCACCAGAAGACGTGGTAAAATTAAACATAGCTTTTGTGCTCTAGTATGAACTTTGGGTGATTAAATACTACCGCAAAAAGTTGGTTTGGTAGGTTGTGGCTGAAGCTTATGCTACTTTGTGGCAAAATACCTATCTGTGCTTAAAACTAGATTTCTGTCAGTTTTGAGTAGTGTTCTTTTCCAACTATCCAATGCTTCGCATTGTTGCTTTCAAATATGGCTTTCCTGCATTATGCACATCTTATTAGGAGCCTGTGATGCCTTGTAACATGTACTAGATATGATTTACGTTTAGCTTTCACCATTCATCATGTTGCTCAATTCATGGCAAAACCAAGTTATTTGCAATGGACACATTAGATTGTTTTGTATTTTGTTAAATAAAGACATTTTGGATTAATAATTCTTAAATCTTATATCTCTACATTTCCACCTCATCTTTACAGATAGTTATACAATAAACCTTAAGCTCGATAAATATAAATATAAATATATTTCAATTCTTTATTTTTATATTGGTATTCTAAGCAACAAGTTAAGATTGTTCAACAAAGTACAAAGTTCAAATATGTAGCTATAGCCTTGGCTTTGAAAACATTAATGTGGCTGCAAATCTGTTTTTAAATGGATTTAAAATAATAAATCACTGAAAAATATAATCTCTTGTAATAATCAATCATATAGTATTTAATTAATAATTCGGGCTTTCATACTCCAACAAAAACATCTAAATATGAAATATTACTTTAGTAAAGATTGGATAATTTGGAAAGTTCTTTTTGGATCTAAACAATGCACCATAAATTTTTATTTATTTATTATTATTATTATTTGCATTAGCACAATTGGCGACCACTTCTAATTAAAATTTATTTTATATAAGACTTTTACTATTAGATATAAATAGCCAAAATCCACATATATTACAAATATGCCTTAATTGTCTAATAATGTTTCCTAATAACTACCAATAATTTGGAAACATTATCAAACGAGTTTCTACTAAAACTTTCACTTCTTTCTTTATTAAGCCATTTTAAAAATAAATACATTAAATCATATTAGATTGTTAAAAAATAAATAAAAGTAATTGGGAGTTTATTTTACTTGCATCCAACAATGTAACTAAGTAAATTGAGACTAAATCCTTTTAAAAATATCATATATATATATATATATATATATTTTTTATAAAGTATAAAATAGATAATGATAAGCTTAAACCTATAGAATATTTTTAAAGAATATATTTAAATAAAAATAAAAAAGCTAGATATATAGAAAAAATATGATAATAAGAAAATTTAAAATTCTATAAAAATAATAAAAATAACAAGAGATTTAGATAAGAAATTCGCCCAAATTGGGAAGCTATATTAAACTAGTTCAATACTTGATTGTATTATTAGATCAAATGCCAAGATGGTCAAACAATGAAAGATTAATTCACAAAAAAGAAAGAATATCATGTCATGGCATGCATTTAGTGGAGCATTTAGTACAATGTGACAAAGAATCAAATTCAAATCAACTATAGACAATCACTTCTGAAGAAAATAATATGTGCATGACTTCTTAGAATTAAAGTACTATTTGAATAAGTTAACAAACTAAAAGAAGTATTAACTTAATTCCACAAACTTTACACAACTTGTTGCTGGGACCATTATTTAATGTGATGGTATAACATACAAGTTTTATCTAAGTTAAGGATAAGAAGGCATGTGAACCTTCTTTTAAAAGCATACTTTATTGTATTAGTTGATTGTAGCAATTTATTGTGAGACACCTTTAGAGAGACTAAAATATAATTGGTATGATATAAAATAAGTTTAGTTGAGTAGCTAAGAATGAAAGCGGCAAGAAGAGGAGCAAAAAAACTAATGGATTAAGTGAAATTGCAAAAGTTGAATTTACTCAATTTAGACAATAATATAAGGAGAGTTGAGCTACAATATGACCTCATTGCATAGGGATGTGGGCAACTCTATCAAATGCCCTAGTTGTTTTATAACAATGTTATAGTTGAAAAGTTGATCTTGGAAGTGATAACTCTAGGGATAGAAAAAACCATTTGAAAAAAATTCAATAAGTGGGATCTCCTTCTTATTATGTAAATGAACCTTTTGAAGAATAAAAAAAATTGTTAGCATTTAAAAGAACAAGAAGATGATTTCAAAGATGACAATAACTTGAAAGAAGGGTATAAGTATAATGGAATATAGGATGTATAATATTGGCGATTTTTTGGATTTGTACTTCTAATCTTTTATCTTGATTATTCAAAGCCCATGAATAAAATTTGAAAAATAATTTTAATAGAGTCTATTATAGAAATGCAAGTTCTAAATTAGACCAAGTTACTCTTTGGCTCTATATTGCAAGCAATGGACAGCGTAGATCAAAGATAATTTCTCCAATCTTTCTTTTATTATATCACTTGTATTGGACTAAGAAATTATTCATCACCATAAAAAATAAAGAATAGATATAAGAATAATTTTTTTGACAGCTCATAAAATCCAACTCAAATAAAAATAAAAAAGAAGCCTTAAAAATAATAAAAAATACTTATAATTTTTATTTAAGGAATCCAAGCAAGAAGATTAAAAACAAATAGAGTACTTCATATTCATACATATAATTAGAAGCAACACCTCCTAGAAAATACACTAAAATGTGATTGTAAAACTTCCCATTCAACCCAAATTATAAGATGGTTTTAATTAAGGATTTTTTATAATTGGTGGTATAAATTGAGAAAAAAATTAATTATAAAAAGAAAAAGAAAAAGAAAAAAAAACAAACAAACAAACAAACAAAAAAACACAATCAAATAATTATTCACTCTAAAAACTAATCATAGCCTTTTTACTAATGTCTATCTAATAATAAATAAATATAAAAATAAAAAGATATATATATATATAGTAATAGGTATATATATATATATATATATATATATATATAATAGGTAATATATATATAATAGGTAGGAGATATTTTTATCTTTTCAATAACATAAAAAGAATCAAAATCTAAGTTAGTATGAATAAATTATGATAAATTAAAGATAAAAGGTGAAAAATAAAAACAAATCGGTGAATGTGTTCTATCTCAAGGATAACTTGTTTATGAGATGAAAGATGTAAGCCTCACCATGGTTCACAAGTAGTATAAATGAATGTTCTAAAGAGACCATAATGCTTTAGTCTTATTGGCCTACCTACATTTATGCTACAATCCATATGAAACAAAAATACCTTCCTTTCTATATCTTCTATAGTAGTAGCTACTCCTCATATTTTATACTAGCAAAACCACCTTATTTGGATTTTTAATATATAAATTTATTAGGTTCTTATTTTTTTTAATGCTGGTAATATTTTAAGTTTAGCAAATAATATTTAAGATAAAAGTTTATTCTATTTTTATATAAAAATAATTGATCGATCCATGAAAAACTAAAAATGTCTTATATTTGAGTAAAAACCACCTATATATTTGATTGTTGTTTTGGCTTTTATAACTATCTTCAAATAAAAAAATTAAAATATATTTGAATGTAGTATTAATCTAGAATGCTAATACTATCTAGATTGTTCTTCTAAAGTTGTAGTATCAAGATTATTATATCTTGTTATTTTTTTTTAAAACATTAATATTTTTCTTAAAGACCTTTATTCTGGTTTTAATATAGTAAAGATTATAAAAATCCATATTGTTTATTTAAATAAATCAAAAATAGTATTTTTTACAACAAACATATTATCATGTTATATGAAATGTAGTTATAGAATAAACCATGTACTTGATTTGAGAAAAACATTATTTAAAGCCTATAATTTTGTTATAATCCGAAGAAATGGGATGTTTAAAATATATATTTTAGAAATTAATACCTTCTTAGAAATCTTATATCTAAATTTTTTTAAATTTAATTATTTTTATATCCTAAATCTTACCGATTCTTTAACAAATCTTAAAAACATTTGAAGAAATATCTTAACAAACCTTGAAATTTTTAAAATAAATTCTACTTTTTTTGTAATTTTAATATTATAATTATAAAATATACTCACATAGTTATAAAATATTAT